CCAGAAAAAACAACTTTCTAATACCTTAGAAACTACAACTAGGCGCTGGCACAAATGCAATGTTTCAGCTTCCTACAACTTTAAAGCTGTGTGGATGTGGCTCTATGAAGAGTCGTTCATATTTTTCTCATTCATTTCATAAGTTTAGAAGGGGGGAACATAGTCTAACAACAGTTAGCTTTTGTTAATGTTACCTCGAGGCAAACTTGTGAGACTTGTTTCTGAAATCCCTTTCTCTTAAAGTGAATACATAAAAAAAAAACAATGAAGCTTACCCTAAAACTAACCACTGGATTGCTTGTCTAACATGACCTAGTCCATAAATGAGGTAAGGGTGGGAACAATCAAACGCACCCTCGCAGGCACTGCGTGTTAGCGAAGTACAACTGGGATTTCGAAGAGGAAGATATGCTTGGTCAATTCTTAATAAAAAAGCAAAAGTAACTAATTGAGCGCTTGAGTTTTCATTAGCAGCACCTAGCTACAGCTGCGGAGCTTCAGTCAATACCGCTAACAGTCTATTTCCTTAAAATGGTACATATCGCTGAATCTATATTTTCATCTTCAGTTGATGAAATCTGCATAATGTCCCTGTACAATAAGATTCGAGCATTTTGTAATCCAGTGAGGAAATTCAAGACCAGTAAATATTGATTGATTAAACAACACTAAATAAAATTGTAGGGTTTTCTTCAAACTCAGACTCTCTGCTGCGGCTGTACCTCAAAAGACAAAACAATTGTCTGATGATCTTTGTTGAAAAAGGTCTGATTGTCCTGTACATGTACAATGTGGGGTATTTTTTAAATACTTTACTAAACCACATTGAATATTATGTTAGACACAAGTTATTACTCACATATCAAAGTCTTTTCATCTGCAAGATGGAAGAATAGCTGGGTGCTGCCTGGAGAAACTGATGAGGGACACAGGCTGGCGTCAGCAGCTTTCCACACAGCCATCACATCTTCTCTTCCATAGTCTTTACTGTCCACTGGTGCTCTGTCAAAAGAGTGAACATCACAGCTGTCATGTTAACCCTTTGTTACACAACATACAACCAACATGCGTCAAAAGTGACCCAAATTAGTTTTAATTGTAAATATCTTTGCAATAAATTACTTTAATCATTCAGGATTCCAGGTATTCCTCAATTAACCTGTTTTGGATCAACACCAATTTTAATTTTTCCTTTCTTACTTTTTGAATACAAATCATGTTTGTATCACTACACTTCTAAGGCACAACATGGGTCAAAAATTATCCGTATTATTTTGCTATATTATGTCATGCATGGCTGAGTGTTTCTTTACTATACATTTTCAAATCTATTCCTTTAGTCATTAATATTCAAAGTATTAATTAAATGCCTTGTTTTTGATTACCACAAATCATTATTTTCATTCTCCCGTTCTTAAATGATGAACTAAAATAGTTTAGGCCAAGTGTGATAAAAATGCAAAAAAAAATACATACTATAATTTTAGCAGTGATTTGGACCAAGCATGTATGATGTAGTAATACAAAAACTATTTTAGTTCACAGTGTGACATTAGCTAGTCATGTTAGCTTGTAATATATAGAGCAGAGCTAACTAGCAAGTTAGCTAAACGTTAGCGGTTAGCCGTTTATGCTATGCTAGCTGTAACTAGAACATAACTATAACCAGGTGTGCACATAACTTTTTGAGTGAGTTACTCAGATGAGTACCAGGAGACAGCGTTTGGTACTCACCCCACATGAAGCGTGGTGTTAATAAGTGCAGTCTTCCTCACTGTCCTCCTCAGTGTCTCCTTCACTGTCCTCTATTTACACTTCTTGCATGCTAGATGATGAAGATGATGAAGATGCACCTCCCTGTCTCTTTGTAAGCCTCCAATTTGCTTTCTCCAAAACTTGTTGCCAAAACTGTGAAGTCCTTGCATTTCCTGAGGCCAAGTTGAAGGATCAAATACTAAGAAATTATCACATGACTTGAAGTCATATCTGATTTCAGAGGTGGGAAGTAACAAAGTACACTTATTCAAGTACTGTACTTAGGTACAATTTAAGATACTTGTAGTTTACTTGAGTATTTCTATTTTATGCTACTTTGTACTTCTACTCCACTACAGTTCAGAGGTAAATCATGTACTTTTCTTCCACTACATTTATTTAATACCTTTAGTTACTTTACAGATGTGGATGAATGATGTGAAAATATAATCAAGTGTTAAATCAGACTTTAGTTCCACCTGGAGTAAATCCACAAGCTACCCTGCAGTATACAAAGTCATTCAAACTAATTTTTAAACACTTTAATGATCAATAATTATAAAACATATCATATACATTATTATGAAATGGACCAATCTGCAAAATGACTACTTTTATTGTCGCTACTTTAACTAGATTTTGATGATAATACTTTTCTAATTTTACTTGAGTAACACTTCTTCCACCTCTGTCTGATTTCAAACTCTTCCATTAACAGCCTGAGTAAGTTTGCAGCTGTGTGTTTTACTCCACTTTGTTGTAAATAAAACTGCAGCAGCTTGACCACAGAGCGTGAACGTTGTGATCAGCTGATTTTGCGCAGTTCTCCAGTGTGTGCGCGGGGCACAGAATGTGCACAGGGGAGTCTCCCACCGCAGCCAGTTGACGTAGTTTTGGTACAATTCTGTTGTACACACCGACGTTAACAGCAGCTCCGTCTGTGCACACGGCGACCAACTCTGTCGTCCAGTGATCTAAGCCTCTTTCTCCTGTGAAGCTTCACAGGTCCGTCGGTTATGTCCTGCGCGGCACGGCCAGCACCCAGTTCAATCAGTCATAGAAAGTCTGAAGATTTTAGCAGGGAGCGAAACGGCAAAGTGGCTGCTTAATGTCTTTGTTTTTTTTGGACATGTCTAATAATTTACTCCACTGAGTATTGACAAGAAACATGTGTAGGCGAAATATGTGTTTTGTTTTGATGACCTATCAGGTACGCAAAGGCGCGTTGTGACACAAGTGACGTTACGCATTTCAGATTGTTGCCGCGCATGCGTACCTGCGTACCAGTTATGTGCACCCCTGACTATAACTATAACTGAACATTAACTAACTGGATACCACTGTAAGAAAGCTGTGAAACTTTACAATAAACTTGGCAACAACACTGTGACACCCCGCTGCATGTTTATGTGTAATTCTCCCGTGTTGGAGATGAGAGGGTGGCGCAGCAGCACTGCAATAAACTGTAAGCTAACGTTAGCTGCCACCTGTTAAGCCCGGTTTCCCGGGCGCAACATCTTGCAAGAAACAGCATCTCAGGGCTTCTTAACATTTAACAACCTATTAATGATAACGGGAAGAAACTCAGCTAACTAGAAGAAGAAACGTAACCTTAAATAAAAAATAAAACATTCACAAACTAAGGATATTCTAAATACATGTTTAACTCCATTACAGTCGCAGGACTCACCAGATCTCAAGTCTTCTGTTCTTTGTTGACGACGTCCCGATGCTCATATTTAACGTGTAGATGTAAAACGATCCCGATATTAATCCATAAACTCCTGCAGCAGAAATACAGGAGACCCGCTCAAACTGACGTGGATGTTTCAAATGTGAACGACAGGCGCAGACAGTTCTCATTGGCAGGTTTCTTCGATGACGTCTATATTAACCAATCAGGAGTGTTGTGGACTCATTCCAAACATGCCTGATTTGTCTGCCGTGTTTTGGCTGAATTCTATTTCAAGTGCTGTAGCTCTGGCTGTCGGCCAGAATCCGAAAACCATACATTATACTGCGTGTAAGACTATAACTAACCCTTATTACTGTATATTGACCAATGGGAAAAAAAACACAGCAACATAACACATAAATAAAACAAGGATAACTGTGACTTATTGTTGAGTAAATAACAGTGTGTGTTTTAAACCTTGGTCCTCCCTGCAGAGATTTCTCCACTTTCTATGATTTTTATTTTTTTAAATGATATTGTCAACTGTAGATGTTTACAATATATATAAGTATATAAGTTAGGAATTTCATGAAAACATATTTATTTACTTTTGTTTCAACATTGGATATTTTGTGTTTGTGGTGGATTCAATCGAATATTGAGAAAATGATTTATGTAAAAATGTTTGACACTTTTTTTTTTACAGTTTCATGTGTAGGTACCTTAAAATTACAAAGAAATATCTTAAAGTCTTATAATAGTAATACACTTTTATATTACGAGGAGTTACATATTTAATTGCAGATCATTTTTATTTTCTGAAAGTGCAAAAATACTGTAAATATGATATAGTAAATTTACTTTAAAAAAAAAATGAAATAAATGTTATTTGTTGTCAAAATACTTAAAATAATGTTTTGGGTTGTTAATTTATAGTTCATATCTGTAATTTTACGGGATTTTGCAAGTTATTTAAAAAAACATAATTACTATAAAAAATTAATTATTTCCTGTAAAATTAGGATCTTTTTTTACAGTGTATAGAATGTCTCAGTTCAAATCTTCCAGACGGTTTGAGAAGTAGGCTATGCTGCAGGACACACGCCGGTTAGAATAGTCTATTCTGCACATGTGCAATGCTGCACGATTCAAATTTTACAGTAATGGGTTGTGCTATTACAGATGATTTTGAGTACAGTGCTTTACTGTGAAATAATAGTTAAATAATGTCAAATCCAATTTTACTGTAGTTTTATAGATATTTTGTTGTGATATTACAGGGGCTTTTTATTACAATATTTCTCTGTAATATGATACTCTTAAATGCTGTGAAATCCTTGCAATGTTTACAATGTTGTTGTGATATTACAGGGGCTTTTTATTACAATATTTCTCTGTAATATGATACTCTTAAATGCTGTGAAATCCTTGCAATGTTTACAATGTTGTTGTGATATTACAGGGGCTTTTTATTACAATATTTGTCTGTAATATGATACTCTTAAATGCTGTGAAATCCTTGCAATGTTTACAATGTTGTTGTGATATTACAGAGGATTTTGATTGCAGTATTTTATTGTGAAATAATAGTTAAATGCTGTGAAATCCAAGGATACAGTCCTTTTTACATGTATTTGTTGGGATATTACAGGGGGCCTTGATTACAATATGTCACTGTAAAATGATACTGTTAAATGTAGTGAAATGCTGGTACATTTTTACAGTGTTGCTGTACCTAAATTACAGTAATTACCTGTATCTTCACACTTTTACTGTATAAGTAATGCAACACAGTAGCCAGTAATTTACTGTAAATATAAAAATGTAATTACGATAATATATTGTAAACTTGACTAGTTAACTGGGATTTTACCATAACTACACAATTCAATCAGCTCAATCAACAAAGAAAAACAAAGAAAATGCCCATTTTAACTTTGTATTACTCCATTGAAGTGCAAAGTACATTTCACAGTGTCTTGGACATGTTGTTACGGCCCCAACCTCTACTCCGCGGTAGTGGCTCGTGCTGAGACCCGCAACATGAAAGAATACACTCAATAACCGGTACTTGGTAATGAGCATGTATTGATAATCAGCCGTTTGCTCACACAAGCGAAACGGGAAACAAAAAGAGGTCTGGAGGACGGGCCAAAAGGAACAAACAGAAGGAGGGAACCCGAGCCAGCCACACCACGGGCCGTAGGACCCAGAGCTCCCCCCCCTAACCAGAATTCAAATATAAACCCTATGGGAAACATAATAAAGCCGCGAAAACTGGACTACCAGGTCCTCCAGGCTAAACATAAACACATCTGCAAAAATATGGCCTACAGCTCAAAATGGCAAAGAGGTATTCTAAGGAGAGTGTCTCGCGGCGTTAGGATAGGCGAGACATCCTTCTCCTCCAGCTTCTCTTTATATATACACGGCTGAGTGGAATTTGGAACACCTTGGCAGAGGCGGAGCCAGGGGCAGATCAGGTGCACCTGGGCAGAGGCGGAGCCAGGGGCAGAAAACAAGGAGGGGAGCACGTAACACATGTCTACACGGGGTCCTTCTCAGGTCGATTAAATGGAATCCCTAGCCTCGTCTCAATACCCCTCCTCGACTCCTCCTTTCCCTCACTCGCATCCCTTCCTTGCGTCTTAGCTCCGCCTCCGTAAGATGCGAGCGAGAGACACGAGGAGGGGACGCGAGGACAGAGGAGTCCTCAGGTATTAATTGGGATGTCCTCGTTCACTCAAACGTCACTCTTAAACGACGTCTGTTAATGATGACATGTGCACAGCTGTATCCCCTCTCATTGGGTTTAACTGAATAACCCCTTAGAACCGGCCCATTTATTGTTAAATATGTATTTAAATTATGAATCTTTCTCTTTTTAGTCAAGGAATTCAATGTATGATGGTTGGTCCAGCTTTTGTGTTCCGTTTTGGTGTAAAATGTACATTTCAATAAAATTATAATTATAATAATGTGAAAGCCTTTACTCGGAAAATGTGTGTCCTGTAGATCCCCACATTCACCAGAAACCAACATTCAGGACTGTGAATTTTAAATAATTTAACTCCTGAATATCTTAACACAAAACAAAACAAATAATTTGTATTTATCAAGATCTAGCCATTTATGAAATAGCTTTCTTAATAGCTATGTTTTAGTGACGTTCAAGATCATTAAACATGACTTAAATTGTTAGTATAACCTTAAGAAATGAATTGCACATAATAATTCCCACGGAGCTGTGAGCACTTATACATTTATGTGACGCTTTTCCACTCATTCTTCCAGTTCTCCGTTTTCCTGTGTTGAAATCGACCAGCTGTGAAGGTGGGGGCGGGGCTTTTATACGCGAGTAGTGAAAACACTTCCGCGTAGTCTGCTCTCGTGTATCCTCCCTTTCGTCTCCTCCCGCACCCCTCCTCGACTCCTCCGTGTGCATTTCAGCTATTGGGACGTCCTTCAAAATGGCGTGTCTTGATCGATTTCCGGGTCAAGTCCCGGAGGAGGGGAAGAGAGGAGTCGAGGAGGGGTATTGGGATGAGGCTCTTGCGTCCCTCACTTGCGTCGTTTCCCTGCTTTTAGTCCCTCCCACCAGGGAAGCATGGAGAGACGCAAGGAAACCACGAGAAGCAGGGAAATTAGTTTTAAGAGCAATGGGACGTCCTTTCCTCCGGAGCGTCACGTGAAGCGACGTCCGTTTGTGATGACGCCGCACAGCTGTTCGTCTGACAGCAGCGACGTCCCCGTTATTTTCCCCCGCCTCTGTTAGTACACATTTACTGACACAAACATTTGTATCATCTGTTGTAGACCCAAATACATTAAATAAAATAAGAACTCATTCTCAAAAAAGATAAACGCCATTCTTAAAATGTATAAACGAACAATAGTTGGATTAATATTGATTAGAGTGCACAATAAATAAAATAATTCAGAGAAGAAAAAGAGATATGTTATCTATCAAAACCCAGTTAGATTAACATTCATTGGATTGCACACTTTGTTTGTTTGTGTGGATATGTAGCAAATTAACATGTTAAATAGCACTTAATGACTGACTGAATGGAAATGACAATAAATGAAAATGTAAAACGAAAAAAGCGATCATGAAAATCTTTCCAATAAATGAATAAAATATTTTTTTACCACTTTGTTGTTCAGATATATCACATATTTGTAACTGAATGATGCATTCATTGAAACAAAACACAGTATAAACTGAGGAGTGAGTCCCGTGAGTTTCATGTATTTTCTTCACTCCGCTGGGAAACTCTGCTCTCATGTCAAGAAGCATCAGATCAGTGCATGCGCTGCATCGTCCAATCAGTGAGCGATACACAGTAAGGGGGCGGGGAGAGTATCTGAGGATTTCACCGGAGGATGGTCTGGTGGTTCCTCGGTTATCGCTCCTCCATTATCGCTCCTCGCTCCTCGCTCCTCGATCCTCGGTCCTCCGGCAGAAATAAGAGTCATGGGACGCTACTCAAGATGGCGCAGACAAATCAACTTCCGGTGATACCGAGGACCGAGGAAATGAAAATAGTCGACCTGAGAAGGACCCACAGACATCCACTCGAAGTCAACCATTTTTCTGAAGAATGTGCTGACATGGGGGTTTAAATTGCCATGCCTCTTTTTGGCTTTCGAGCCCGTCTCAGGATTAATGCCCAGGAAGCACCTGAAAACAATAAGCCAAGACAACAATTTCAATTTACATAGATTTATATGTTGCAACGTTTATTTTAAGGCACATGCAGCTGTGCCCCTTTCAATGTAAGTAAAACCTGCACCAAAGAAAGAAATTAGTATGTAAAGCCAAGCAAGAGCGATAAAAGCAAGAAAATCACTTAATTTGTTGTGTTATCACAGAGGATGGTCTGAATACAGTATTTTAGTATGAAAACATACAGTAACATGTTGTGAAATCCTGGTAATAATTGATCCTGTACATTCACAGTAATTAACTGTGCCTGCATTGATTTAACTGTGAAATTCAAAATTACAGTATTATATTGTGAACATTACAGGTAAAGACTGTAAAATATTACAGCTAAATATTGTGAAATCATGGTAATATTTTACAGTGTAGTTATGTCGATGAAAATCTTAGGTCACAGGATTCTCCAACAGTGCAACACAATAATACAGATAAACAGAAAAATATAGTGCAAGTAAATATTAAAAAGTAAATACAAAAAGAAAAATTGTTTTAAAAAAGTGAAATAGTGAAATAAGAGTCTATATGCAATGTATCATTTATAAAGCCTTGCGTATGATTCACGTGGGAAGGTTGCTTACGTAGGACAAAGCAAATAAATACGCACAGACATTTTCCGATTCATAAAACACTGCGTACCGGCGTAGGACTTGCGTGCGGCACGTCCTACGCCGGTTTCCCTTCATAAATCACAATCTACTCGAAATGTGGCGCAGCTTTTGCGGGTTATTTTGGGAAGGTGGAGACAAATCACATTGTTTGGTGGATGCAGTTTGAACCAGAGTAGCAGCATGGAGGTCGGATCGTCACCAAAATAAATAAATAAGTGGTCCGAAAAAAGTTAATGACAAAATACACATAACCTTCCCCAGGCAGTGTGTCAGTGTGTTTGTGCCGGGGACAGTAGACCATGATGAGAAACTGTAAGAAAGTATCGGGGGATCCCTGCGGAGTGGAGTCAATTAATGTTTATTTTTTTATTTGGTGTTCCAGCTGTCGATCAGCTGTGCGCAGCGTCTCCACTGCAGCCTGTGCGTTTCAACCCCCCTGCAGCAACTCTATCACCAGTTAAATGAAATAAAACTAATGTGTTGAGTTATATCAGCTGCCAGATCTACCAACTATATGGTGTTCTTAGTTTCCATACCTCCTGTGTTTTATGAGCGACTTATCAAGTCTTAGCAAACGGCATAAAACATGATTAAACATGATAGTATATAAAACCATGCTCGTATACAACCTATAGAAAAGCAAAATGGCCTCAGTTTAGATGTAATTCTGTCCTTCTGCATACCGCATCATTTATGAGAATACATGTCATAACATTAAGACAACATATTCGAGGTGGTTTTCAATAACATATCCGTATATATTTATTTCTCCAAGTTACGTTTTTGTGTGCACTTAGGAGTCTCAAACAGGCGTTTGTTTAATCATTTTAAGATTGGCTTTAATCAATGTTTGCAAATGAATTCTTCATATATGATACATGAGAGGTAACATTTTATTTATGGTATTATTTTTACATATTTCTCTCCATTCTTCCTTCTGCTAACGGTGTCGCAGTTTCTCGTCTCTCCCGTTTTTGTGCTTAGTGCGTACGCATGGGTCAGAGTTTGCATGGAGGACCGCACATTTTCCCGTCAAGTTTGTTTTTTATAAATCGCAAACATTGCTTAGAAACTGGCGTACGCCACCTTTTGAGCGTACGCACCGTTTATAAATGAGGCCCCAGGTGTTTAACAGTCTTATTGCCTGTGGGATGAAACTGTCTCTGAATCTGGTGGTTTTAGTCCGGATGCTGCGGTAACGCCTGCCAAACGGCAGCAGACTGAACAGTTTGTGGCTGGGGTGATGGGGGTCTTTTATAATCCGGAGGGATTTCTTCTTGAGCCGCTGGGAGTAAAGGTCCTCCCTGGATGGCAGCTCCGTCCTGGTGATGTTCTGTGCAGTTTTCACCACCCTCTGTAAAGCCTTACGATTGAGGGCGGTGCAGCTGCCG